AAAAAAAAAAAAAAAAAAAAAAAAAAAAAAAAGTGTGACTAGCACAATAATTCTTTATCAAAGTATGCGGGTTCACGTTTGAATACAATGTTCCCTTCCACACTCACCTACTTGAAACGAGCCTGTAAATAACACTTCAAGTCAACCCCCTCCTTCCTTGAGGGTCACTATCACAGTAGGAAATGAAAATATGAACTTTACTTATTAGCCTTTTCCTGACTCATAAAAAGTGTCACGGGCTTCCCTGGTGGCTCAGTGGTTGAGCGTCCGCCTGCTGATGCAGGAGACGCGGGTTCGTGCCCTGGTCCGGGAAGATCCCACATGCCGCAGAGCGGTTGGGCCCGTGAGCCATGGCCACTGAGCCTGCGCGTCTGGAGCCTGTGCTCCGCAACGGGAGAGGCCGCAACAGTGAGAGGCCCGCGTACCGCAAAAAAAAAAAAAGTGTCACTTCTGGAAATAGGAAACTTTAAAATACAGATTAGTTAAATTGCATTACTCTCCTGAGAACTCACCACCTTCCCACATTACAGCCAAGGAAATGGATGAGACATGACTTGTCAACTCACATCAAAACAGGGCCTGAGAAAGGTCGGGGGAGGGGAGGCTGCTCTCCAGGTGGAGGGACTTACCCCGATAAATCTCCTCGTCCTGGTCAGTCACGTAGGCGTTGGCCCCCCAGATCACCATCTTGTTGATGTAGGATGGGTATCTTGCAGCTGCAATGAGGGCTGTTATCCCACCATCACTCCACCCCAGCAAAGAGACCTTCTTAAACTTCAGCATCTGTAACAAATACCACGAAATGCACAGCGCAGGTTATGGCTCCTCGCTGCGGAGAGAGCTTGATGATCGTCAAGTATCAGAATCGACACAGCTGTGGTGTGTGGCGTGTCAACTGGCCATTAAAGAAAAATCCTAGAGTCCACCATCTGATGACATAAATGTTTCTCTCAATTAGTTGTGGTGCAAATATGATGATCATAAAAACGTAAGTACACAGTATTGTTTTGAATGATGAGGGGACTACATCTTCTGGTTGGATAAAGTCTCAAGGAACCAGAAACAGCGGAGATCAGCTGTACTTGGACGTGACAACGTGTGTGCGTCCGTGCAGGTCTGAGTGAAGACTTTGAGGACAGGTATGCAGATCAGAGAGGGAAATGGGAGAGTCGCTGCATCTGATAAAGCCACTGACTGCAACTATGGGAAGAACTGGCTACAGGAAGGCCGGGAAAGAATGATGGTGGTTACACTGGTCTTCGGGTAATCAGCCAGCCTCCGAGAATGTGTTTGACAGGGAAGATGAGCATCTCAGAGATGCTGCCGAGAAGTAAACACTGAATGATGAGGGAAATTTAAAGAAGTAATGAATATCAGTCCAAGACATCTGCTGATGGGACTCTAAATTGGTGTGACTACCATGGATAATACTTTGGCACTATCTTGTAGAATGAATATCTGCATCTCCCGCCACTCAGCAAGTCATCTCCTAAATGTGCACGGAGCTCTCATACACGTGTACCAAGTCCACACCAGCACTGTCTGCAATAGCAAAACATGAGCGCCACAACGTCCATGCACAACACAATGTTCACTGCACTTCCGTGTATAATTGCATTCGCACGCGCGCGCGCACACAAGGCAACTTAGAAATTATTTAGCCACCATCAGAAGGGAGAATTCAGACACAGTGTATCCATACAACAGAATACTAAGTGCCTATTATAAAACTGAAGAAAATTTGTATTTATTGGCATGGAAGTATCTCCTTGATCAACTGTTCAATGAACAGTAAGCTGGAAAATCATTAGGTAGAGTAGGAGGCCATCAATACAGAACTGTGTGCTTGTATGTGTAGCAAGATTGCCCAGAAAGGCAGAGCCTCAAAGTCTTGGTAGCAGTACCTCTAAATAGTTAGATTGTTTGATATATCTGTTCTCCTCTTTATACCCATCTGAACCCTGAATTCTCTATAGGAGTCACGTGATATTACCCTTGAAGAAACAACAAACAAAAACAAAATAAATGAAGACAGGCCCAGCCACCCTCCTCCTCTGGGCTCTTGACTAAGAGACCCACCTTCATCAAATCAACAGCATCTTTTGCATCCCTTTCAAAAAATTCTACTGGGAAATCTCGATCTGGGGGTCTGGAATGTCCGTACCCTCGGGGATCCCAGGCAACCACCGTGAAGAGCTTCTTATTCAGGTTCTCAATCTGAGGTCCAAAATCAGTCTCTCCACTTCCTAAAAGTAGTCACTTGGTTACACTCCAGTAAATGCTTTCATTGTTTCAAACACACTACATCAGAAGCAGAAACAACTACAAACTTAAAGTAACTAGTTTCTACTCAAAGTTAGACCTCAGCTGTAACCAGCAAAGCAGCTTCCTTTCTTGCTGGAGTTCAGACCTACCCCCCACCTCCCCCTAGTGGCTACTCTGAGAAGGACAGAGGCCCTGATTTTTCATTTGGTCCTGTATTATTTCAGCACGTTTGATCTCTCTTCAGCTTAATCATGTTTATTAAAAAAAAAAAAAAAAAATTCATGAAACTGCATAGAAATAAACTTACTGATACAACATGCTTCTGGGTTATTTTTTATTTCTTTTTTTAAAAATGACTGTTACAAATGAGAGAGATCTTAACAATATGTGGAGACACATTAATGAGATTTGACCCTAGTCATTCAAAGCAGAATTCTAAAATCCCAGATATCTTTTACTAAGCTAATGTGAATAGCCCTGAAGGTTTTATTTTCTGGTTATAACTAGAAACGAGAAAATTAAACTAAAACACTGAAATGAGGGGGGAAGGAAGGGTGTGTTGGGAAGAAATCAAGTTAGTTTGTTTCATGACAACTGTATGAACCAGCGTATGTTAGCAAGTAGAGCCACGTTCTCAGGCTGGCGGCAGACCTGACCAGCAGCCCCCAGCCTGCCCACATGGTCACAGCCACCGTGTGCACAGGCAGGGTTGTCTTGTGTGGTCCACACAGTGTGGAAGGCCAGACTCCCAAGAAGCCCAGGGGCCAGACTCCCAAGAAGTCCAGGGGCAAGTCAGCATCTCATTTCTAAGCTCTGCTTGATTTCTGGGGACTCATAGCTCAGGTCACAAATGGATACTAAACGTCTCACTTAATAAACTGGCAATTATTAGAAAATGTCTTTCAATGCTGCAGGATCATTTAATGTCATCAAGGATGATGATGTCACTCTTCCTGACAAGATATACCTTCCTCAACATCAGGTAAACCACCCAGAAAACCCAAGCTGAAAGCATAACTGGATTTCCAGCACATGCCTACTGCTCTGACATCTGAAGCTTCTCTCATGATTACTGAACTGGAGGGTCTTCCAGGGAACTGCGCTGAAAGAGGGGCAGGAAGTGAGAAGGTGGGAAAAGGCAACAGTGTAACTAAAGACCAATTTCAGAAACAGTAATACCTGGCACACAGGTATACATCTGAAGACCAGTGCAAAGACCATTTGAATACTAAAACCTTAATGAAATTACTTTAAGGAATAGTTACCAATATGAGATACCTGAGAAGGAAACACATCAACACTGGTTGCCCGTGGGTAGGGGAACTGTGTGCTGGGGGACAGTAGTTTAGGGGAGAAACTTGCTGTTCGATTTTTGAATCAGGTTAATGTTTTACACAAGCAAAAACTAAATTGCCAAAAGCTTTTTATACCTGGATAATGACAGCAATACTGAAACAATGGCAAACTGTTCATTGCTTTAGCTCTACATCAGCCATTGGAGTAAATATGGTCCTCCATTACAACAGCTCAAGGGAAAAAGATACTAAATACTATCTGGACAGAGACACCTCAATAGCTACAACAGTGCCACTATCAGGTGAGGCTACATCGAGAGGAACCATCATGTAACTGAAAAATTTTAGCATTTTACTTTTAAGAGAAGGAAGCAAATCATAAGGAAATAAGTATATACTGGGATTACTTAACTAAATTAAAAATAAAACAATACTAAACCCCTTAAAACCAAATTTGAGATGCCCTGGGATCACTGGAAATTCCCCCCAACCCCGAACTTTCTACATCTAAACTACTCATCTGTAAGAGGAGATCGCAACCCACCTGGCTTTACCACGCTCCGTTCACGCCAAACTAATTCTGATCTTCAAAAAGGCTTTAAGCCCAGTTTTGTTCTTAGCTCTGATCTTAGCTGAACATACAGTCAAGCACAACAGGGCAATCAGTCCAACTTTTAGCAGCAGAAGTCTCACATCCTGGAAGCCCTCAGTTCCAGGCAAACTGGGCCGCTGGTCACACCACACACTCATCTCCTTCCTTCACCCATCCCTTCTTCCCACACTGCTTTCCTTGACCCGTCATCCCCCTAAGTTGTAAGCAACTACACCGTGTTGGACTTGCATGGAAGAAAACTGGGTATTTAAAGGAACAAAAACTGCATAAAGTAGAAAGGTATCTTTCTACATCACCTAAAATTGACTGTAGCAAGTTATTACTTAAAGCATCTCAGCAAAGCTCTAAAGTTAATCATCAAGCCTGGGCATCTAGGACTGTGAATGCAGCACAGATGACACAGCATGCAGAGCATTTGGTAAAAACCTCCAGACCCAACATTCCTGGGAGCAGCAGGACCACGTGCTCTCCACCTCCAGTCCGCAGGTAGTGCAGGTGGACGCCATTCACAGCCACTTTGGCGGAGGTCACAGAGGAGCTGGAAGAGAAAAGCCCCATCCCCAGAGGAAAACTACTGAGCAGCACGAACGTGAGGCCAAAGCCAGGCTTTTACACACAAATCGGCTGCAGTACCCTCCCCAGGTCCCTCGGATTATTCTGATACGTGCTTCAGTTTTCCAGACCTAAAAAGGGCCCAGTTTGTTTCCTCCCCACCACACTGCACATCTGGGCTGCGTCTTCAGGTTTGAAATCCTACAGCACCAGCTCAGGGCTTATCCCACAGAGGCACCGAGAGGCCTGCTGAAGTCAATGGCCACACAGGCCACCCTACAGGCCCACGCTGGGGTGCCAAGATGCAGGCTGACACAGGAGCCCCCGCCGTGGAATGCCAGGTGGGCACCGGCACAGACCCTGGAGCCACTCGTCTGGGCCTCAGCAGGTCCAGAGGAGGCACCCGGACCTTAGGCTGCATTGGTGGCGTTCCCAAGGATGAGGCTGGTCTCAGGGTCCAGGGGAACGGCCCTGATCCCGAGGCTGTAGGCATCTGGCCTCTCCATTCTCCAGCCAGCCACATGAGGGCCCCCTGGTCAGGAATG